AGAATTTACTGAAGTTTGATCAGGCTTCTTGTGCTCTCTGCTAATTACTAGTAAAACGCCAACGTTTTCCTGGGGAAACTTGCCTTATTTCAGCACCTCTTGGGTGCGCCCGCCAGCTGGGGCCAGTTTGGGGCCCTGACTCTCTGTTTGGGGCTCACGGGGACGGTGGTGGGCGCTGGATATGGTGCAATGCTGGGCACACATGACAGGGCCACGGGGACGGGGGTGGGCGCTGGATATGACTGCTTGGATCACAGGGAGCAGAAGTTAAAATTGCCTGCGTGTTTTTGAAAGGCCTTTCTCCCTGCTAGCCCACGGGGCCACGTAAAGCTACAGCTGCCTGGCCCAGGAAAGAAATCCTGGCTCTCCTCGTCCTGTCGGGGGAAGGGGCAGTGCAAACAGCTGTGTAATAACCACAGGAATAAAGACACTGCAGAGGGCATGCAGCAGCCGGGGTACGACTGGAATGAGCAGCAATGCCTGGCGCAAGGGAAGGAATGGGGGGCAGTCCTCCCAGAAAGCAAGGGAGGGCACCCAAAAAACCAGAGGCTGCTCCCTCCAGCCCTGCTGCTCCTGTGTGGAGCTCGCGGTTGCACTCGCTGGGGACCCCACAAACACACACACGCGCGAGTGACAGTGGATGCCTCGTGAGACCCGGAGGAATGAAACCCAGCGGCGGCCAGTGACAAAGAACTGGCTGAGGAGCGGAGCGAGGAGGATGCAGACCCTCTTCGAGAGCCAGCCGGCCCCGGCCCAGAGGAGGAACATTAATCTCCCCTCTTATCCCTCTTGCCCGCCAAATGGTGGCCAAAAGTGGAACCAAGGAATGGCCTTTCGAAGTGGCCAGTTTATTTGAATGACATGCACTGGCAGGCAGGCAAAAAAAAAAAAACCCAACCCAACAGAGAGCCAGGGCTGTAAGAAAGCCAGAAGCCATTCGGAAATGCCCCTCGCCCAGCTTGTCCTAGAATTTAAGGCCAGAAGGGAGCACCAGATCATCTAGCAGAATCTCCTGTGTATCACCAGCATCCACCCAGCTACCTGCCCACACACTAAATCCAACCACGGGAGTTAGACCAAAGTATTACGGCCCACCAGAGACTAGACATAGGCAGAGCGACGGGCACTGCCCGAGGTCCCTGCGATGGCAGGGAATTGGTTAAGGGAGATGTACCCAGGTAATCCCAGCAAGTGACCAGCCACCACGCTCCACGGAAGAAGGTGAAAAAAAAAAACCAGGTCGCTGCCAATCTGGCCTGGATGAAAATTCTTTCCCGACCCCACATATGGTGAATCAGTTAGATCCTGAGCATGTGAGCAAGACCCAGCCAGCCTCGCACAGGAGAGTGAGAATGCCTGGTGCCACCTCAGAGACCTGGCCCTCCCCATCTAGTGTCCCACCTCCAGCCGTGGCCATCCCTGATGCTTCAGAGGAAGGAGACCAACCCCCTCTCCCCCCCACCATACATGGGGGGGGGGAGGAAATCCCTTCCTGACCCCCTGCAAGTGGCCAACTAAAGCTCTGAAGCATGAGCTTTAGGAACCCAAGTCATAAACCAGAAGGGATCCCCCAGGGCTGCTGAGCCCCACCCCCCACCATCTCAAGCAAATCCATCATACAGTCACACTCACCAATGTATCCAGCTCTCCCTCAGAACTGATTAAGTTGTTTGCCCCCACAACTCCCATTGGGAGGTTGTTCCAGAACCTCCCTTCTCCGACGGTTAGAAAACCTGAATTTGTTCGTGGCCCATTTATACCCATTTGTTCTTGTGCCACCATGTCCTGTGGGTGCAATAGTTCTTCACCGTCCCTGGTATTTACCTCCCTCATGTATTTATAGCGTGATCACATCCCCTTTCAGCCTTCAATTTGCTACGCTAAACATGCCAAGCTCTTTCAGTCTCCTCTCGTAAGATAGGACTCCCCTGATCATGCTAGTAGCTCGTCTCTGTCTCTGTTCCAGTTTGAATTCATCTTTCTTGAACATGGATGACCAGAAGTGTGCACAGTATTTCAAATGAGGTCTTACCTGGGCCTTGTTCAATGGCATTAATACTTCTCCATCTCTACTGAATATGCCTTGCCTGATACATCCTAGGATCGCATCTGCCTTTTTCACAGCCACATCTCATTGCTGGCTCATAATTGTCCTGTGATCGACTCACCCACCCAGGTCTCTCTCCTCCTCTGTTGCTTCCAACCGATGAGCCGCAGCTTGTACCAGAAATTCTTATTATTAGACCCTACGTCTATTAGACCTTGCACTTGGTACTGCTGAATTTCATACCATTATCTCTCCAGTCTTCAAGGTCATCCAGAGCTTCCTGCATAATATTCCGATCCTCCCCTGTATTGACAATGCCTCCCAGCTCTGTATTGGCAATACATTTCAGTAGCACACTCCTACTTTTTGTGCCGATGTCATTAATAAAAATATTGAATAGGATTGGTCCCAAGACTGACTCTGGAGGAACTCCTCTAGTCTGACAATTCACCTTTCAGAGCAACTTGTTACCTTCTCCCCTTTAGCCAGTTTCTTATGCACTTTACATTTCTTGTATTAATCCCCCTCTTCTCCACTTCGACTAATAATTTCCCATGTGGCATCAAGTCAAATGCTTTACTGAAGGCCAAGTATATTAGATCTACTGCCTTTCCCTTATCTAAAAAATCAGCTATTTTCCCAAAGAAGGGAATCAGGTTAGGCTGGCATGATCTACCTTTGATAAACCCATGTTGTATTCCAGCCCCTTTCCTGTTTTCCTCCATATCTTTAATCATTTTTTCCTTTACAATTTGTCCCAAAGCCTTGGATACTACTGAGGTCAGACTAACAGGTTTGTAATTGCCTGAATTAATTTCTTTCCCCTTTCTTAAATATAGGTCTGACATTAGCGATTCTACCTCCACATAGGTAGATTTATTAAGAATCCTTACTACCGGACAAGCAATCTCGTGCGCCAGTTCTTTCAGTATTCTGGGAGGGAACTGATCTGCCCCGCCCTGATTAGAGTTCATTAAGTGCTTTAAGTTTTTCTTCCACCTCAGGAGGTAATTTCCATTTTTATACCCTCATTTCCATCAGCTGTCCTGCCTTCATGCCTGTGGTCCATGTTCTCATCCTTTTTGAAAACCATGCAAAGAATTCATTTGAGTTTTGAGGCCAGACCTAGGTTATCTTTAATCTCCTTCCCATCCACACTGCATAGGGCCCAACCTCAGCCTTCCTTCTTCTTCTGTTTTTATTTCTATAACTAAAAAACCTCTTCTTATTTATATTCATTTCCTTGGCAAGCGCAAATTCAGCTTGACTTCTAACAATTCGCACTTTATCCCTACGTTTGCTAACTCCAAAATGTTGCTTTCTTTGCTGCTCAATCCTTTCTTCCACTCCCTACAGGCTCTCTGCTTACCCCTAATAACCTTTTTACTGCGGTTCTTCATCCAGCTGGGTCTGGAGACTTTCCCCGCAATTTTTGCCCCTCGTGTGGGATGTAAATTTCAGATCCTTTTTGTATACAGGCGAGTCTCATCTTACGCTGGGGTTACGTTCCGCTGTCAGCGCGTAAAGCGAAAATCGCGTATCGTCAAAATTCCATTGAGGGGAATGGCGGGCGGAATCGCCCGCACTTCAGGTACAGTATTTAAATGGTTATTTTTCTCTTTTTTGGTTTTGTTTTTTTGGTTTTGCCAACCGCGCAAGCTGAATTCGCGCATAAGATGAGACTCGCCTGTAGTTGAAGAAATTCCAAAGCCCACTCCACATTTCAGCCCTGGAGGTCTTCAGTAGCAGAGCAGGGAATAAACCCTCCATTTCTGGAGTCCTAGCCCAGTGTTCTGTCCACGAGGCCACACTGCTTCCCTTATTCATTGCAGGTGGCATTATGGTCTGAGCATCTATTTTCAATTGCTCACGGTTCACATGGTTCACATCCCAACAGGGTCAACTCCTCCCTCCCGGGGAATGGTTTTTTGGATGATTATTGGTATAATAGCTGCGCCTAGAGACCCGAACTGAGCTCAGGGCCCCGTTGTCCTAGGCCCTGATTATTATCCCCGGTTTCCATACAGAGACGCTGAGGCCCAGAAAAGGGAAGAGCCTCCCTCAAGGCTATGCAGGGAACCTAGCAAGGTCAGAAATGCAGCCCAGCTCTTCTGAGCCCCAGGCTAGGGCTCAGCAGTGAGGAATTGAACGTTGGGTGAGAGCTGAGCTTTGCCCTATTTGCTTAACCCAAATTTCCCCTCACGCCCCCCTCTGTTGTGCAAGGTTTTGGCTACCTCCCTGCCACCCCAGAGGTGGCTGCATTTCTGACTTTGTACGGCTATGGTGCAGTGCGCTGGGTTCCTTCTCAGCTCCTGTTTCTCCACCCCAGAGGTGGCTGCATTTCTAGCACTGTCCAGATAGGGCTGGTAAAGCACGCTGGGGAGGCAAGGTGCTCTCGACTTTCATTTCAGAACGCCACACCGCATTTCCCAGGCGAGCTCGGAACGGTGGCTGCGGTCATCGTAAAGAAATCGAAATAAACCCAATAGGCTTATCATGCCCCAGTCCCGCCTTCCCTCCCCTCTCCCTGCAGTGTGTACAACCGAGCAGGCTGGTTCTGCGCCGTGCTGAGTCAAGGCCGGACCTGCAGGCTGTCAAGAGAAGCTTGCTTAGGAATTTGGAGACACACGTCTGTTAAGGAAATGGGATCGGGGGGCAGGAGGGGAATAAGTCCTACTAACTCAGGGAGTCCATCCCAGACCCTGCCCCGGCTGGTTGGCAGGATGCTAGGTCTGGGTTGGTGCTCACCAGCAGTCAGGCACTTGGAAGGGATGCAGCCTCCTTATTGAACACGTCCAGGCGCTGCTCAAGGTCTCCACTGAGCCTTCTGTTCCTGGAGACTCTCCGAGCAGCGGCAGTGACAGGCGACGCCCAGCAGAAGGTGCTGTTAGGATGCTGGAGAAGGGGAAGGGGAGGAAAAAAAAAAAATCCCTTCACATCCCCAGCTCAGCCATCCACCGCCAGCCAGCCGCACTCCGGACAATAACACAGCTGGGGATGCTGCACGGCCACCAGCCGCTCGCCACCTCTCCCACTGCCTGCTGCCCGTGAGCGGAGAGACAGCGAGGGGGGGACTCGCCCAGGGCTGGCGTTTGCCTTTCCCTCCAGAGCTTCGCCTGGATCCGCGCAGGGCTGCGAGCCAGAGGGTGAGGCAGCCAGGGGATTGCAGAGGCTGGGAAAATGGAGTAAGTACCGCTTTTCCCCTTGCCCCGGGCATGTGTTGGAGGCGGTGGGGAGACAGGGTACATCCAGCCATCTGTCTGTCTAGGTACTTATATAGCCTTCTGCACCATAGCATCTCCCCTCCCCACTAAGCCAACCGCCCTATTTTCCCCCCCTCCATCCCGCTGAGGTTGGATTCAGGGCTCAGATGCTGCTGACGCTACCCCGGCCTCTTCTCGGGAGCTGGCCTAGCGGGGCTGGCTTCCCCCTCCACCTGCATACAACCCCCCCTTGCCCCTGCTGGTCCTGCTCGCCAAGGTGACAGCTTGGGGCTCCACGAGGCCGGGGAGCCAGGGGGCTGCGTGCAGGGGGAGGTGGGGAGCGTGGCGGGGTCTTCCTCGCTAACCGTGGCCCTTGGCATTTGCGGCTTGGGGAGAAGGAGCGGGAGGGCCTGTCTGACGTGTTGCCACCGGTCGGCGTGATCACGGGTGGGTGGGGGTTGGCGCATGTGAGGGTGCAGACGCTCCCCCCCCTCGCCTGGATATTTTTGCAGTGACTCAGAAATCCGAGCGTGCCCTGCCTCTCCATAGTCAGGGCCTCTGTGGTGTAGCGATGCTGACCTTATTGTTTGCGTATGGAAGCAGGGCCCGGAGAACCAGGCTCAGGATCAGGGCCGTGCTGAGTCGGGGGCTGGGCGATCCCATAGGGACACATGGGTGCCTGCTGCAAAGAGCTTCATGTTTAGAAAGACAACAGGTGGAGGGAGGGGGGAGAAGCAGCGAGATCAGGCCACGGAGGGACTTGGCCTGGCACCGAGCGGCCCCGAATGGGCCTGGGAATTGTGCTTTCCCCCAGGACTCCAGCAGCGTCGTCCCCTCGGAACCGCTGGCTCCAGGCGTAATCACCTGGGAGGGGACGCAGCGGGTCTGCCGCGGCTCGGTGCGCTCCGGGTAACTGGCCGGAGTGGCTGGTGTTGCTGGGTTTGTTCTAACTAGCACCTCCCCTCCCTGCCTCAGCTGCTCAGGTCTCAGCCCTGGGCAGGATGAGCAACAGGTTTTCCTGAGGCAGTGGAGGATCAGTGCCCGTTCTGCCGTGGTTCACCGTCGGGAGCTGGCAGCCCTTGGCGAGCAGCGCCCGGCTCACCGGTGGAATTCTGCAGGGCTCCCGTCTCCTCCGGGGCGGCCCCTCCTCAGCACCGGTGACTGACCATCTGGGAGCCAGATGCCAGGTGCTCAACAGGTCCCAGCCGTCTGCTTGCCGTTCGGGTGGCTCCCGCCAGGCCTGCAGCAAGAGGGGGTGTCCCCGGGCTCCCTCTGGCCACCCTCCCTCCATTGTCAGCCTTTGATTCTTCCCTCGAAGCTATCAAAGGAACCAGGAGGCGGCTAATCTGGGTCAGTGGCTGGATCCTGGGGAGGCATTTGAGATGCATCTCTGAGGCCTGAACACAGATTCTCTGCAGGAGAGCTGGCTACATGGGGAGCCCCCAGCTACTCCATTCCCAGCCTCTCCCAACAGGAGGCGCTGTGTGGGGTGGGGCTGGAGAGATGTGTCAAGGGGAGCTCCCAGATTCTCCACTCTCAGCTTCTGCTAGTATGAGGCGGTGTCGGGAGCAGGACAGGTTAATTAGCTGCCGGGGGCGCTCCAAGCTACCCCAGGCTTGACACCGTCTACCAGGGGGCACCACGTGCAGTGGGGCAGGAGCACTCGCTATGGGGAGTTGGCAACATTTGCAGGGCCACGGAGGTTCACTGCAGGGAGAGGGGTCAGAGCACTGGATGGCAGGAGTTGATGGTGATTTTCGTCCCAGGCTCTCAGGGCAGGAATTGCTGCAGGGAATGGTTGTGAGCCGGTGTGGGGAAGCCAGGCTGGGCTGGGGGGAGTGTGTGGACAGACTGTAAACTCCGATACCCATCGATTCCTCAGATCCCGGCCACGCCCTGGCTGAGCATGTCCTGGGAGCATTTCCATGGCCCAAGAACTTGGCGCCAGGCCATAAGCACCTGCAGCTCCTGTTGGCTTTAATGCCTGTTAACGTGAGAGCCCCCTGTTCCGGGTGACAGAGGAGCGCCAGCCCGCTGAGTAGCCGATGGGCTAGAACTAGAAGCCCCTGTTTTCGAGGGTTGAGAATGTTGCTGTGGGCTGGATACCTGGCCGTAGGCGGCCTCGGCAAATCCAAGCTTGATGCTTTGGGAAACTCCTGGGCATGTCTAAAGTGGTTTCTCTTTCAGCAAGGAAAACTAGCACATAGGCTGCAAAAACCCACCCTTGCAGACAGCACCCGTTGTAGGTGGGAGCATTGTCTAGTGGGCTGGACAGCAGGCTAGGAACCAGGATTTCTGGGTTTGATTCCTAGCTTGGGGAGTGGGGTCTAGTGATTAGAGCAGGGGGCCTGAAATTAGGACTCCTGGGTTCTATTTACAGCTTGGTAAGGGCTGTAGGGTCCAGTGGTTAGAACAGGAGACTGGGAACCAACCAGGGCTTCTGGGGCTAAGTTTCTGCCTCAGTTTCCCCGTCTGTAAAATGAGGCTAATACAGTCCAGCCTTGTGGCACAGCTATGTAGATTAAGTGAGTAATATTTGTAAAGGGCTGTGAGATCCTGTGATGCTAGAGAAGGATGACGGGGATTAGAATCATAGAACTGGAAGGGACCTCGAGAGTCCAGTCCCCTGCACTCAAGGCAAGACTAAGTATTATCTAGACCATCTGTGACAGGTGTTTGTCCAACCTGCTCTTAAAAATCCCCAGTGATGGAGATTCCACAACCTCCCTGGGCAATGTATTCCAGTGTTTAACCACTCTGACAGTTAGGAAGTTTTTCCTAATGTCCAACCTAAATTGCCCTTGCTGCAGTTTAAGCCCATTGCTTCTTGTCCTATCCTCAGAGGTTAAGAAGAACCATTTTTCTCCCTCCTCCTTGAAAAGTGTTATCATGTCCCCTCTCAGTCTTCTCTTCTCCAGACTAAACAAACTCCATTTTTTTCAATCTTCCCTCAGAAGTCATGTTTTCTAGACCTTTAATCATTTTTGTTGCTCTTCTCTGGACTTTCTCCAATTTGTCCACATCCTTCCTGAAATGTGGCGCCCAGAACTGGACACAAGACTCCAGTTGAGGCCTAATCGGCGCGGAGTAGAGCGGAAGAATTACTTCTCATGTCTTGCTTGCAACACTCCTGCTCATACATCCCAGAACGATGTTTGCTTTTTTTTTTGCAACAGTGTTACACTGTTGACTCATATTTAGCTTGTGATCCACTATGACCCCCAGATCCCTTTCCGCAGTACTCCTTCCTAGGCAGTCATTTCCCATTTTGTATGTGTGCAACTGATTGTTCCTTCCTAAGTGGAGTACTTTGGAGTACTTTCCTTCCTAAGTGGAGTACTTTGCATTATTCAAATTAAATTATTATTAAAGCCAACCAGGCTGACTTAGTTGGGTCTTGAGAGGCATCTGGAGCATGATACGCCTGGGTGTATGGAGGAGGCTCCTCCAGGCATTATCTGCACACACAGGTGTTGTTACTTGCCTACACAAGAGAGACCGGGCCTGACCTCACACCACTGGAACTGCATCGCTGACAGGGGAGTTGCTCCTGATTTGCATTGCTGTGTGTGAGAGGGGAGTCGGGCCTGCGTCAGGAAAGGAGAAATCGCCCTGCTTTTCCTGAGGCAGGAAGGATGGGGGAGTGACTAGTTCCCTGGCTGGGGATAAGGGAGAGCCGAGCTCATTTCCCAGCTCTGCCACAGGCACACTGGGTCACCGTGGGCAAGTCTCTTAGCCTCTCTCTGACTCAGTTGGGGGGAGGGCTAGCTCAGTGGTTTGAGCATTGGCCTGCTTAAACCCAGGGTTGTGAATTCAATCCTTGAGGGGGCCACTTAGGGATCTGGGGCAAAATCAGTACTTGGTCTTGATAGTGAAGGCAGGGGGCTGGACTCGATGACCTTTTAAGGTCCTTTCCAGTTCTAGGAGATAGGATATCTCCATTAATTTTTTCAGTTCCCCAGCTGTACAATTGGGGCAGTAGCTTCGCTCAACCTCCCAATGGTGCTGTGAGCATAAATACACTACAGATTGTATGGGGCTCAGATACTCTGATGACAGGGGTCATACAAGTGTGTTGATAGATGTGTGTCCACCTGGGGATGGCGGCCTCTGCAGGTAGATTATAAATGTACCAGCTTCTAGTAGCTGAGAGGGAAAGTTACAAGCGGCTGCCTGGAGCTTAGTCTGTCCTTCCTAGGAGCAGGAAAGAGCCGTGGTGACTCCCACCACCCGGTTATCAGCAGGGCTTGAACCTAGAACCCAGAGCCCAGACCTCTACCACATGAGCTAAACGTTAACCTCTCTCTTGGCTGGTAGCAATAGCAGGCTGTTATCCTCTGTGTGGACCAGCCTCTGAGGGACGGGACACACACTTTGCAAGCATGTTATACGGGCATTCGGCTGCTTTCTCTGCTTCGGCCATTATCCCCAGTGTCCTCCTCTGACAACCAGGCTTGATCCTACTGGAAGTCAGTGGCAAAGCTCCCATGGAAGCCAAGAGGAGCACAGTCAGCACAACAATGAGACCTATGTTAGGATGCTCCTGCTTCCTCTCTTGCCCCCTGCCTGGTGCCAGCAGAATTCACTCAGCGGTCACGTCTTCCCCATCACTTGGTCTCTAATGGGAGCTGTTTTGCTTTCCATATTGTGGGGGGCAAATGACCGTCCTGGCCTGTCGGGTACCTGATGCGCCTTCTAAAAACCTGCACAAACTTTAGGCCCAATCTGGAAGCTCTCAACTTTGCAAAACTGCCACTGACTCCAAAGGGAGCCGGGACTTGAGTAGAAATGGGGTCAGAGCTCCCGAACTGACCCACTGCAATGAAAATAGCCTGGTTGGTTTCATTTAAATTCCTAGTCGGGTTCGCTCTCCGGCTGTCTCACCCTAGGACAGCACTACAACATGTGGGCTATAGAGCGCATGGGGGGATGTGTTTGGGGGGGGTTGTTCGTCACTTATGATCTCTGGATTTATTTTTAAT